GGGGGGGGGGGGGGGGGGGGGGGGGGGGGGGGGCGGGCATCCAAGGCAGTTGCCAGAAAAAACAGGGGAGGAAGGGTCGACCCTGGGGGCTCGGTGGGAAGCTGCCAGTGGGGCAAGCCTCACCTTCACATCCCAGATGCTCATTCCACCATCCATGCCGGTAGTGCAGAACTGTGAGCACTTGGCCTTGCCTCCGCTGAGCACTGAGATCTGGCTGCAGAGGATGGGGGTGGTTATGGATCCCAGCCTGTGCCAGGCCAGGAGCTCCCACCAAACTTCTGGGGGAGCTGATGCCAGTGAGAAGTGCCGAGATAGGGTATGCCTAGCCAGGGACAACCTGGGAGGTGGGCTTAAGAGTCTGCTTTGGGGTTGAGCAGTGGTGTGCGAGGTGCAAAGGGCAGTCCCAGCAAATGGAACGGGACACTTGAAGGCCTGAGCAGTCGGGAAAAACGTGTGCCTGGAGAATGTACAAAGTGCCAGTAGTGTGGTGGAACGGGAAAAATGCAAGACATGGGGTTGGTAGGACGCAGGAGCTAGCTCTGAAGAGCCTCGATGGCCGGGCAAACGTGTTTAGTCTGAAGAAGACTGGATCGGGCGGCCACAGGGGCGCTTAACCAGCCAGGGGCTCGGTCAGAAAGTCTTGCCATACTACTACTCCCTCTGATTTGCCGCGGGGTGAGCCCCGGTGGCTTGGCAGCCTTCGGGTTTTGGAGGGTCTCTCCACCACCCCACCCTAGATCCTCGGGAGGCTGCAACGGGACCCTCAGCTCTGCTCCCACCCCACCAGGTTATAGCGATAAACCAGCCCCAGCTATGACCCCACCCACAAAAAGCCCGGTGGTCACTGCCTGGTCACCCCACAGAATCGCAGGCCCCGCCCGTATGACAGTCCCCATCCAGCATCTCCTGAAAATGCAGACCGAGGCTAACTGCTCAGCCCCCACCTGTTGCTATTTCTGCTCAGCCTAGAGAGGTCGACTCCGCCTCCTATGTCAGGTCCCACTTCGTCCATCCCGGCCTCCGCTCGCACCGGAGGCTCCTGAGGTGAGGCGAGATCGACCCCGCCCCCACCCGACGCGGTTCCTATGCACGTCGAGGCCCCACCCCCACCTGACGCTGTTCTCGTGCACGTCGAGGCCCCACCCCCACCTGACGCTGTTCTCGTGCACGTCGAGGCCCCACCCCCACCTGACGCTGTTCTCATTCACGTCGAGGCCCCGCCCCCACCTGACGCTGTTCTTGTGCAGCGAGTCGATGCCGGCGCCCCCGGCCGCGCCGCCCTCGGAGCTCGCCTTCTTGTCGAGGTTCTGGAAGCGCTCGCGGGCCGTTAGGCCGCGCTGCGAGCTCTGCTTGGGCACGTCCAGCCGCCCGCCGAAGTTCAGCGTCCCCGCGGCACCGTCGTAGGTAAACAGCACCGGGAAGCAATCGTGGCCCTGCGGCGGGGCGGGGGTGCCATTGGAGCCGTTTCCCCATACTCCGCACGGGGAAACTGAGGCCGCATATAGCGGCCTCGGAGGGAGGCCGGTGCAGGGCTTGGGTGGCGCTACTGGGAAGCCGATGCCAGCTCGGGGACACAGCCGGGCCGCAGAGAGGGAGGCCTCAACCCCAGGGGTACCATCAACAGGGGACGGGTGTTGGGGGCTGCCCCCTCCCCCGGCAGTATCAGTGTCTAGTTGAGAAAGCTTGTCTGGGACTCCCCGGGGAGCCCAGGCGCCTCCTGTCCCGCCCAGCCCATTACACCCCCTCTGGGAGAGACCTTGCAGCTAAACGCTCCTCTGGGCAAAAAGCAGGCCTGATTCGCCTCTGGCACCCCCATTATGTTTGCAGAGAAGTGAAAAGGGGCTCCACAGATGTGGGAAGAAGGGAGGAAGAGCATTGCCCTTCTGGACACCTGATGGAACTGCACTCCCCCACTCCCACACGCCTGCCCTTTGAGTTTTAGGCGTGGCCTTGTCATTTGCTCTGGCCAGTGCAATGTAAGCAGTTCTCTTTCTCCCGTCCTGGCAACTGGGGAAATGTGTTGGAGACAAAGCCTCCGTCAAAGCCCCCCTCACAGCACCCACACTGTACATATAATGTGAGCACGAAATAAATCTTTAAACCACTGCAACTGGGGATTTTTTGTCACTGCAGCATAACCTGGCCTGTTCTGCCCAATATGGACGTAAGGTTGAATGGCTAGAAGGAAGGAACGGAGGGAAGGGATGGGTGGAGAGTTGCGGGGGCATCTGCTGGGCTGTCTGGGAGATGGGCTCTAACCAGCCACTCCCTCCCCACCCTCCTTACCGCGGCCACCAGACTGTTTTCTGTGATGAAGGTGAGGGCCAGCAGTGGCAGCGTTTCAGAGGCCAGGGTCACAACACTGAGAGGGAGAGAGATGTCAGCCACGCAGTCCCCATCCTCCTGCTCTGTGCCTTCATTGCCCTGCAGCTCCCCACCTCCACCCAGGGTGGCTTCCACTCACGCCATCTTCTTGTCAGCATCGGCCAGACACACAGTGCTGTCGTGGCTGACCCAGGCCACCCGGCTCCCACTGGCTGAGAAGCAGACACCGTGCACCCAGCCGCAGCTACTGCTGGACTCAAACATCAGCTCCCCAAAGGGCATCTTGGAGCCCCACGGGGTGGGTGCTGGCCGCTCCTCCACCTCCTTGATGTAGGCTGAGAAGATCCTGCCAGGAGAGGCATAAAAGGGGTAATTGGGGATTTCGGAGGGCCTGAGAAGGGGATCCTTCTCCCAAACCGGCCCAATGGGGCAAGCTCACCAGCGGTCAGAGCACCTGACTTTGCATGACCTGTGTCTTCATGATTGACAAGTCTGGGCCTCAGTGTCCCCTTTGTGCCATGGGGTGGGGGCAAGAGGTCTCCCAGCTCAGAGTCCTATGAACTCCCAGACCCCTCAGAGACGTAACCTGGGAGCTCACCATCCACAATTAATGCGGTCCCTAGGCGGTGTTCTGGTCCCCGCCATACTAGCCACTCCACAGCCAGCCATTAGGATGCCCCTCGTCCCTCCTGCTCTCCATCTTGATGCAATCCTGCCCCCTCCGCCCCCATCCTGCTGACTCTACCCTCCAGGCCACTCTCTTGCACATTAACCCTCTTCTCTCAATCCCATGGCTGGCTTGGGGGGTCACCTGACAAATCAGGGTGCCCATAAAGCAACTCCCCACCCACAAACCAAGCCTCAGTGGTGTGTCATCCTCTCTGTGCCCAGGGCCTCCAAAGCCTGCCATTTCCCAGGTGGACATTCAGAGACCTGGGGGGCGTTCTGCCTGGAGCTGGGAGGAACTGGGGTTTGGTGGCTGAGGGAGATTTGGGTACTGGGCCCAGAAATCAAAAATCATGAATGGCAACTGGAGACTGCATTCCAGGCCTTAAGATAAGAAGCAGAGTTTGTTCCAGCTTATCAGTCATACTTTAGTATGAACAAGTAACCCACTCACATTCCTTCAGACAGAAGCCAGGAAACTAAAGGGGTGGGAGGTTGTGATGAGGTAGGAGAGGAGGGTCTGGGAAGGACCTTGCTGACATCAAGAGGTGGCAAGAGGCGCATCCTGCTAAAACTCTACCGCAGGGGCTGGAGACAGGATAATGATGATGGTCCTTCACCGAGCAAACCCTCACAGAGGGTGACCTGAGGCCTCAGACTGGTAGCAGTTCTGCAGCTGGTCTGGAAGGAGGGGCTTCGGGATCCCAGGATGGGGCAACTTCTCCACCCTTCAATCCCTGCTGTGTGTTGATGTCAAGGCCCTGCCCTCCCCAGGTAGCCACCCCAGGCTGCCCGCCTCACCGGCACTTGAAGTCGCAGGAGCCGGCAGCCAGGAGCACGTTGTTGGGGTGCCAGTCCAGGCTGAGGACGGTGGAGCGGATGGGCTTCTTGATGTGCTTGCACACCCACCTGGCCACAGCAGGCAGATGGGCAGGGGGGAGAGAGGGACAGAGAGGTGGGCACCCAGAGCCTCAGTGCCCCAGGGACTCCTGGTTCTTACTGCTCCCTGCAGACTACAAAGTCCCAGGAGGGAAGGACCTGGGCTCTGCTAGCCACGGGCCAGTAGGAGCCCCGGTGCAGTGATATGCTGGGTCCCCTTTGAGGTGGGAACTCTATGCCTTGTCTCACTTAAACCTCACGACAACCCTCAGGACAGGCTTAGTGAGGTGAAGTCACCCCCAGAGGTCATGCAGCCACTATGGTGGGACTTGAACTCGGTCTCTCAGACTCCAGCTGCAGTCCTGCCTGGCCTCACAGGGGAGATTAAGACATGGCTGAGAGTGGCGCCCTGCAGTCTGACAGGCTGGCTGGGTGCCTCAGGCAAGTGACTTTGCTGCAGGGTCTTACTTTGCTCTTTGTAAAGTGGGTTCAATGACAGACACCCAGTCCATGGGGCTGCAGGGAAGTCAGTGCCAATGTGTGTGCATGGCTTAGCATGGTGCCCCCAGAGGTGGCCCTGGTGTGATCTGTGTCCTTGTTACTACCACGATGGGCCTGTGGGAGTAGCCAGGGACTGTGCAGGGAGCTCCTGGCCTCACCAATGAGGCCGAGAGAGGACAGACTTCCCCAGGGTCATGTGGACAAGGGTCCTGACATTTCATCTGGTACTTTTTGGGGACACTCTAGTCCCGCCCTGTTGGTCCAGGGCTCAGCCAGCCCCAGGTCCCTCCCAGCCCAATCTGGCCCCACCTAGGCACCCACCAGTCATTTTCCTGCTCAAAATAACAAATGGAGATGACACGGGAGCCACTGCCCACAGCAAACTTGTTCTCATTGGGAGCCCAGCGCACGCAGCGAGCGGCCCGGTTGATCCGCAGGATGACAAGCGTGGGCTTCCACGTGCGGCCCTTCAGCGTCCACACGTAGGCATTCCGGTCTGTGCCACAGGTCACGATGCGGTTACTCTCAGGGGCCCAGTCGATGCCTGTGGCAGGGTGGGGGGACACACTAGACTGAGCCACCCAGGCCAAGGTGGCTCCACAGCAACCACATAGCGGGGCTTAAAGGCCACCGTCTGAGTGGAAGCTGTATCTCCCCAGCAAGCACATTTTACTGAGATCCAGTGTTTATTGGGAGTGACACTAGGGGGAGCTACTAGAGCTTATTAGGGACTATTACAGATCTCCCAAGCTGTCACCAAACATGCTGGAGTGCAAAGCCGAGAGACAGAAAAGGGCAGTTCTTGGTAATGCAGAACTGCTGGATCAAGTCTCTCCTGAAGCCCACAAACTTGTGTGTTCAGTAATCCCTTCATAACTTAAGCCATTTTGAATCCGGGTTGTGTTACTTGCAACCCAAACTATCCTGCTTAGGGGGTAGATGGCCAGCCAGCCCTGCCCTGTCCTCCTGCCTCCCTTCCTGACCCACCTGTCACGTGCCCATTGTGCTCCTTGAGCTCGTGCACCTTGGCCCACTTGGCCCCACTCTTCTCGTAGATGTGCACCTCATGGTTGTTGGGGCAGATGGCGATCTCTGCAGGAGACAGGAGTGGGTACAGGGAGTAGGAGAAGTTGTGGTGCTCAGCACCCCTCCCCACGCTCCCCTCCACTGGAACACCTTTCACAGTCCACTTGGTAATGTCCACCACAACTCAGGTTCTGCTCCTCTGCCTCCGAGGGGCCCCCTGAAACCCTTCAGGCCCTGCCGAACCACCCTCTCACCCACACCCACCAACCCCAGATGCCCCTGCAGCAGCCTTGCGACCCCTGGGCCTCTCCCCATCCCACTGCTATGGCTGCCAAGCTGCTCTTGGTCTCTACAAATGTCTCCTCCTCCAAAAGGCCTTTCCTGGCCCCCTTTCCTAACCCAGCACCTCTGCCTCCACCGCCTTCCCCTTACAAGGCACATTTCATTAGCCACCATTGCAGGTACAGGTCTTCATTTCCTACCCCACCCCACTCTGTGCCTGTGAGGCCCGTGGGCAGCCCTGGGGCAGGGCTGTGTCACACGTCCTCCTCCGCACCTGCCTTTCCTTCTGCCTGCCATGCCCAGTCCGCCTGGCTGCTCCTTGCTCATTCCCTGAGCTGTTCGTCCATTTCCTTCTTCAACACCCAGGAGCACCTTCCTTAGCACGAGGACCCAGGGGAAGCACGTGGCAGCCTCATGGAGCCCAAACCCCAGGGCCTGGCTGTATCCCCTGGCTCAAGGCCACTTCAGTACCCCCAAGTGCTCCCAGCTGGTTGCCTGTGAGTTTGCTCCCCGAGCAGGCACTCACGGGTACGGTCCTTGTTCCAGGCGTGGCAGCTGATGGGCTCCACCAGGAAGCTGTGGTAGGCCATGGCCGCTCAGCTCCTGTGCCCAAGAGAAGGGGAGAGAATCCAAGTCAGCCCTGCCCCTGCCCAGACACCAGGTCCCAGCCGAGTCCCGCGGGCTCTGCCTCTGGGCTTCTCAGAGGGGCAGCAGTTTGCAGGGAAAGGCGGCAGGGCCATCCCACTTTCCTGACTGGCCTGGCATGTTGCTCCCATCCCAGGGCCTCAGTTTCCCTCCTTATAAAATGGAAGTTCTCGACTGGCCAGTTAGCTCAGTTGGTTAGAGCACAGCCTTACAACACCAAGGTCATCGGTTCGGATTCCCATTCCGGCTAGCCGCCAAAAAAAATTTTTTTAAATAAAATAGTAGTTGTCACAGGATGTCTCTGAGGCTCCAGGCAACGAAGGGTGGGACATGGTGGGGGGCAGGGGGATATGCTGCAGGTGAAGATGCCAACATGAACAGGGTGTGCTGGGACCCTGAACCAGCCAGGCCCATCACTTGCCATCTCTGCCTCAGTTTCCTCATACGTTGAACTCCCCCCTCCCTCACCAGATAGGGTGGGGTGAAGAGGAAATGAAAGGACACTGTAAGCCCCTGGAATGGTGCCGGGCACACACGGGCTGGCCCTCCCTTCCCAGAGCCCTGGTCTTCTCCCCGCCTGCTCAGAGGTCTGCTGGGGCTGGTGGGTGGGGTGGAGGTGGACAGACAGACGATCCCATCGGTCCAGATGCTCCACTTGCTGCACCTGGGGCTGGGCCAGGTATTAGGGAGACCCCAGGGTGGCCTGGCAGTGAGGGTGAAGGAGGGTACGGAGGGCAGCTGGGGGCCTGCAGGAGGGACGTTGTGACTGCAGCACTGATGGTGCAACGCTCCCCCCACACCCCCTGCTCAGCCCCAACGGGCCTGTCCCCAGCCTCCCCTCTGAGGGACAGTGAGGGGCACGCCACTGCCCAGGCAGCCTCCCTCCACCCTCACCCCTGCCCACTCAGCTCCTTGCGCCCTTCCAGCCTTGGTCCGCATCCTTCCTCCCTGGCTGCCCATGGCCCCGCTGCCCTCGGCCACTCTTTGTCCCCCGTCTAGCCAGCCATGTCCTCACACCTGCGTGCTGTTCTCTGCGTACAACACGCCCACTCCTGCTCTACGTGGCCAAGTCCCACTCATCCAGAAAGGCACAAGGCAAACATCACTTCCCCAAACCCACTCTCTCCCCACCTCCCCAACCCAGCTTCCCAGAGTCATGCTTGCCAGCTGTGTGACCCCAGGCCTGTCACTTGCCCTGTCTGAACCTCAGCTTCCTCATCTGCAAAATGGGAGCAGAGGTGCTGAGAGGGTGAGATAAGATGATACACCACACCTGGCACATAGTAGGTGTTCAAGAAACGGCAGCTCTTGGTCCACAATAGGTGTGACAGCAGCTAGCCTCATTCTATCCATTTAAAAGTCGGCCTCCCCAGCTAGACCAGAGGCTGGTCCTGCCTTGGGCCTCCGTGCTGGCCTGTGTCACTCTTCCCCAGACACCCACACACGCAGCTCTTGCTGCTGCCATTCAAGTCTGTGCTTAAAGGCCACCTTGCAGCGTGGCCTTCCCTAACCCCCTGATTTGAAACTGCATTGCCTCCTCCCACCCCAGCACACCCTAACTCCCCATTCCCAATTTAATTTTTTCCGTGGATAACCACCATTGGCACATAGTACATCGTGCTCAGTTACTTCCCTGTTTCTCTCCGGCCAGCACAGAACAAGTTTGACAGAGACAGACTGTCTCTCCTGTTCCCCTTTCTACTCCCCTGTGCCTAAATGCTTGGCACACAGCAGGTGCTCAATAAATATTCAATGAACAATTTTTTTTTACTACCATGAGTGCCCAGCAGAGTAAGCACTCAATTTAAAACATTCTTTTTAAGTAACATCACCCAGCATTTCCTGAATGCTCCACATTTGCCAGCTCTAAGCAGTCCGTGCGGATTGTGCCTTTAATGCTCCCACCAGCCTTGGGCCTGCAGGGGGCCCGGTGTCAGGCAAACCTGGCTGCACCCAGTAAGGGACGCTGGCTCCAGGTCAGCTCCAGATGTGGGAGCTGATGCCACCTGCCCAGAGTCACCAGCGACAGCCACCAGGTAACTTGGCTGCCTCCCCCATCAGACTGGTAGGTTTGTGTGCCCTGTGCTGGGCCCCAGGAAGGCTGCTCCTCAGCTCAGGACATGGGCTAGGGACCACCTAGGAACAAGAGCCTTGAATACTCTGGGAAGCTGGTGGCTGCCCTGTCATTGCCCTCCCCTGAGAGGCAGCCTACCCAGCCCCTTAGATGAGCTCACCCACATGGCTGGCCTACGGGCCCTGCTGGAACCCACGGGTCCTTCCTTTCCCTCACCAAGGGTCTCTACTAAGACCCTCTAGGAAGAAAAGCATTGAATTTGGGCCCAGGCACAAGGGAGGGATGGAACCGCCTTTAACGAGGGCTGCATTTTAGCCCCATGGTACAGCTGTGGGATCGGGCTCAGCGATCAGCTTGCCTGAGACATGCCACAAGCCCCCTGAGCTCCCTGCCTGGTGAACCCTGCCCGTCCTGTCCACCTCCTGCTCACTCCAGATGCAAATCATCTGCTTTCATTTACAGTCGGATGCCCTGGAAAGCTCCTGGGGCAGCACAGGACGTACACACACACACACACACACACACACACGTGCATGTACAGGGTGGGGACCTCATCTGTTTCCCCCATGCCTAAAACTGGGCCCCAAGCAGGTCCTCAGTCAGCATTTGCTGAGAAAGCACACACACACTCAGCACACACGTGTTCAGCCTCCCACACTTGCAAGCACACTTTGCATGCATGTTCAGCCTTGCACACTTGCAAGCACACTGCTCACACACGTGTTCAGCCATGCACACCCGCGAGCACACTGTGCCCACAGTGCTTTGCAGGCATGTTCAGCCTCACACAGAGCAACCACAGGGCTCCCAATGCAGCTGCCTCCCCAGCCTCTCTCCTCTCCTTATAAAGCTTTGTGCAAGGTGAAGGTCCCAGAAATGCCACCTCAGCACCTTCAGCCAGGTCAGTGGGGCTGATGGGGCATTCCCTGAGTGCTCCCAGGGCTGGGCCATCACTGCTCACACCAGGTGACAAGACTTAGGAGAGGGAAGCTCAAAGCCTGTTTGACTGATAAACTGCTCATCTGTCCCACTTCCCTTGTCCAAGGCCACCAACAGGGCAGGGGCAGAGCTAAGGCCAGAAGCCCACTCCCAAACCCCAGCCAGGCTCTGGTTGGCATCAGGACTCCAGCTGAGGAGTCCACCCCTTTCAGCCCCAGGTGGCCCAGAAGGAAGGAGTCCTGGGCTGATGTACAGGACCCAACTTCCAGCATCAACTGCCACAGGCTCGCTGGGTGCCCAAGCGCGTCTCTGCCCGGGCTGTGAAGACAGAGCGACTGCTCTGCTGAGGCCGAAACACCCCTGCGCACCAGTTGGTAACACAGCCAGGAGGACCTGGGGAGCCCTGACCACCACTTCCCAGGACCCAAAGGTCCTCAGAGGGAGAGAGAGGGGTTGGTAAAGATGGCCACAGGCACAGTGTGGCAGGACAGGGAGGGAGATACAGACCACAGCTATCAGCCAATCACACTTTAGCATAAATCCAGACAGAAATACTTCCTAGTCTACTGCACCAAACCTTAAAAGGGGCAAGGGGCGGGGAGTGAAGAGGTGGGAGGGAAGAAGACTCATTTCCCCTTTTTCATAACTTCTGCAAACCAACTGAACCCAGCAGGGCCTCAGTGATGACTCCCCAGCCCCCACGTCTCACAAATAAGGAATTGGTGCCCAGAGAGAGAGTGGGTGCCTCATTCTCCAGCCAATGAGGCCTTGGGGCTGCAGCCTCCTGGCTCCAGGATCATGGGATTGTTCCGTGTGGTCAGTCCCGGGCAAGCAGCCTTCGTGCTCCGCCACCCTGCTACAGGAACTCTGACTTAATCATTCCTGGGAAAACCTCTAACCTATCAAACAGGGGCAGGGTGGGGGTGCCTGTCTGCTGCCTGCCAACCATCCCCTGCAAAAAGTGTCACGAGGAAAATGCTTTGCTCACATGTGTAGACAACATAAGGCCTCAGCGGTGGCTCCTGGTGGAGGCAAAGCCAAGCTGAGCCCATGGCCTCTGGGACACATGCCCACTTGTCACCGTGGCTCTGTGAGCCAGCACCATGGGTTTATGTGACTGTTGAGGAACAAGAAGAGAGAGGAGAGGACCCTGGGGACGGCATTGGGCCCATCCAGTGCTCTGTGTCCCTATCACTCTGGAAACCAAGTGAGGCTGAGGGAGCGTGGGCTGCACCCTTTACAGACTCCCAGGGCTGGCTCCAGCCGCCTCTACCAGCCTGGAGCCAGGTCTCTCTGTCCTCCCAGGAGCACTTCCCACACAGTGAGTGCTCGGTAGGGATGGACCCCAGGGTGAGGGTGCAACTGGGAGAGGGAGGAGAGTGGCAGGAGGGTGAGCAGTTTCCTTCAGAACTCCCTGCAGGGGGCTGGATGGGGGTTTGGGTTTCCAAGGTGGGGTGTGTGAGGGGTTCCATCTAGGGCGTGCCAAAGAGCATGCAATGGGGAGTGGAAAATATTTTTTTCTTTGTATATAATTGAACAGAAGCCCCATGAGTGCGGGGGTATTTGTTTTGTTCACTAATATATCCCCAGCACTGCTTAGGGTGCCTGGCACATGTAGGTGCTTGATAAATATTTCTTGAATGTGGTTGAATGAATGAATCACAACTTTTTTTTCATGTCTGTCTTGGGGGATGATCTATTGGGAATATGCTGTATTACTTCAGTGGCAAATGTAGGTACTTTGTAAATATGTATTGGGGAGTATGTGTTCAAATTTTTTTTCTTTTCTGATGGGGGTCAGTGATCAGAAAAGCTTGGAAGGGCTGGCTGGTTAGCTCAGTTGGTTAGAGCACAGTGTTGTAACACCAAGGTCAAGGGTTTGGATCCCCATACTGGCCTGCTTCCAAAAAAAAAAAAAAAAAAAAAGCTTGGCAACCTTCACTCTCCAATCTAG